ATTATAGAGTTTTCCTTGCTTGCCACTTGTGTGGTTTAATCACTAGCCTATACTGCTCATTTTGCCACCTAGTCAAACGCATCACAAAATGCATGGTTAGGTGATACAAGTGCTTCTCATCTAAGAGGAAAATAAATAGGGGAAAAAATATAAAGAAATATGAAGAAAGTGACGTTTTCTTTCTTGATTCTTTTGAATATACAAAGTGCCTATTTAGAGATTTATATAAGAAAATATTCCATAGTACAAAATTAATTAACCTAATTAAGTCAATCAATTATGATGTGAACCCAATAAACATAATTATAATATGAATATTCTATAACATTCCCCCTCAAACTCAAGATGGTGATGAAGAGACTAATTTGAGTTTGGAGAGAAGAGTGTAGAAACATCTAGAAAGTAAGCCTTACTGAAAAGATTCTCAAGTTGATTTACAAAGCCAATGAAGACCAAGTGAATAATTCCTTTGGCAACATGATGTTGAATAAAATGACAATTAACCTCAACATGCATTGTGCATTCATGAAAGATATCATTGTGAGAATTTTGGATGGCACTTTGATTGTCACAGTAAAGATTAATAAAAGATGGTTAAGGAACACCTATATCCTCTAAGAGCCAATGTCGGGAAAGAATTCTGAAGTGGTGTTCACCAAAGCTTTATATTTAGCTTCAGTACTAGAGCGGGATGAAATAGTATATTTGTTGCTATACCATGAAATAAAAGAGTTACTAAGAAAGAGGCAATAGCCAGTAGTGAATCTTCAATCTACAAGATCACCAACCCAATCAGTGTCAAATCATACATGAAGTACAAGGGATGAGCTAAGAAGTGGAGTCCATGAAACAATATTCCCTTAACATAATGAATAATATGAAGTACAGTGATGTAATGAGTGAAGCAAAAAGCAACCATAAATTAAATAACAACATGAACTGCATATGCTATGTCTAAACATGTCATGTTAAGATAAACCAAACTCCCAACTAGTTATCAGTAACAAGTAGGATTAAGGAGTAAAGAACCATCTAAGGGTGTAAGCTTGACATTAGGTTCAAGTGGTGGGAAACGATCTCCCTATTAGTGACCAGCTTTAAATATGAGATTTGATGCCTAGTTAACTTGAGAGAGAAGATAACCTTCATCTATGGATGTGACTTCAAGCCCCGAAAAATAGCTCAAAGTGCCAAGCTCTTTCATCTCAAATCTGTGACTAAGAAACTACTTAAGCTTATCAATCCCTAAAATATCATCACTAGTACTAATCATATCATCAATATATAAGAGTAACATAACCATTCCCTAAGCAATCTTAGGGAATCAATAAAGCAATATCATATGGACTTGATGTGAAACCAAGCTCATTCACAATAGAATTGAATTTTGCAAACCAAGCTAAAAGGGATTGCTTTAAGCTATATAAAGCTTGTTACAATTGACATACTTTGTTTGGAAGATGAATAAGTCTAGGAGGTGGTTTCATATAAATCTCTTTTTCCAAGTCATCATTATGAAAATCATTTTTCACATCCATCTAAAACAATTTCTGTTTTTACATAGCAAAAATGGCAAGCAAATTGTGTACAATGGTAAGTTAGGCAACAATAGCAAAGGTTTTCTTATAATCAATGCCATATTCTTGTGTAAAACCTTTTGCCACTAAACACATCTTATAACGCTCCACAAAACCATTGGAGCGAGTTTTTATCTTGTATACCCACTTGCAACCAATAAGAGTCTTATCAATAGAGGGATCAACCAAGTCCCAAATACCTGTCTTTTCCAAAGCCTGTTATTCATCTATCATAGCTTGCTACCATAAGGTATAACACACCTCCCTAAGCATTTTTAGTCCTAGGAGAGTTCGGAAATAAGATTTATAATAAAAAAATGCAGCAGAAATAAAAACACTTTTAAAAAAAAGAAGATCATAAATACTTGTAAAGGAAAACCACTTTAGCAAGTCAATACATATATATTGAAAAAATGCCAAAATATTCAAAGTTATAAAATAAGCCGAGCTAAGCTCATTTATAATTAATTTAAAGATTTTATACATAAAGGTAATTTACACAAAAATTATATAAGGCAAACTCTTTTCCAAAGCTTTTCAAAAAAACAAAAACTAAGTCATTGTTTTGGTAACACATCGATCTGCCTCCCTATCGAAAACACAAGGCCCTAGCTTACACATACAACGACCATGCGAGTCCCATGCCAAAAGCTCCTAAACCAAGAGGCTGCTACTTCAATCTACTGATCTAAAATGGGGGGGGGGGGGAATTTTATGAGCTAACAGCCCAGTAAGTAATAAGTTTAAGCTATAAACTTGGATCCTAAGACCTTTAGACCTATGCACACAAAGAGCATAAGACACAACGGAATCAAATCACATAATATTACAATTCTCGCTATTTAAATAATAACTTAATATCTCAAATCATAAGCACAAATGTCAAGGAATAATCAATAACATTTAAATTGAATTCATATACTAAAATCATATGCTCACAAATACGATGTTACAAGCGCAATGCATAAAATCGAAAATCACACAATGCTATGGAGTCCACTGAGGTATGCTAACAATACTGTACCGGAGTTAATCACAGTACTAATCCTACTGCGTAGAGGTCCACTAAATACCACGAAGGGTCCACTGAATACCCCAAGCTTTAAGCTTAGGTTCACTTACTCCATAGCCACAAACACATACGCATGTCAAACAAATTCATAATATGTCCAAAATAATATTAGGACTTCTTATTGAAAGAGATCAAAGCATAATGCGTGAACAGTAATCATGAACAGTAATTGTGAACAGTGATTCGTAAATAGTACAATTTACTTATAATTCCTGCAGCAAAAATTCACACCCAAATCAAACATAAAAAGGACTAACTCATTGTCTTTCCCATATAAGCCCCAAAATTAAGGATATTTCTAATGAAATTTTAATACTTAAAAATCTTATAAACCCAAGGATTAGAGTTAAATCTCACCAATTTAAACTACCCAAAACTCTAACCCAAAATTCATAACTAAAACTTATACTTACCTAACAAAAAGCATCTTAACCTTGGAGAAAGAAGGAAGAAAAGAATATAGGTGAAAGAGGAAGGCGTAGGAAAACAAAATGGAGCTTTTGGGAGCCTTATGGAGGCTTATCCAAGTTTACACCGACAAAGAAAAAAAAACTTGGTTGGGACAATGTGATGTGGTAAGCAAAATTGGGATAATTGAGTTATGGTCATTCAACTTCTACTAAATTCTACTTAAAACCCCCAAACTTTAAATTCAATCAATTTAATCCTTAAAACTACAAACTAAAGGACACTAATTTTTAAATTAGTCACTAAGGTATGTGGGGTGTTACATAAGGGACCTAAAGAAGCTTCCTTATATGACTGAGGTTCATGCAAAGAGGTAAGAGTAGAAAAACAAAGGTAATTTAGAAGGTATGTAGGTGAATGCTTAACTAAGCAAGATGAGTAGA